GGGGGTCACCCCAGAATCTTACCAGCAAATGTGTAGACAAGAGAAATACCCTCACGGGGCAAGGCCTCGGGCAGTTGCCCAGAAGTTAAGGGAAGCCGGATGGCGCTGGCTGGAACCAGAGCAACAGACCGGACCACGGGTAGCCGAGAAAGTAGTATTAGAACAATTTATTAACATCCTACTGGGTGAGAGTCAGCGCTGAGATCGCCGCCATCATCCCACTTTATTAGGAGAGGCGGTGACGCTAGTGGAAGATTATATGGCCACCGAAGGAGGTGAAGGAGGCAGCGGGGGACGCAAGGACTCTCATGGAGGGGGCGGTAGAGGAGTCACCCAGGCACCCCCATGGCTCGGAGAGAAAGCAGGAGTGGGAACCCCCCTCAGTCCTAACAGGAGCAGCGGAAGACGTCTGGCGCCTGTGTGGAATCGGCCAATGACAACGGAACCCATACCCCAACCTTTACCCCGGGAGGGGTGCCCGGACAATCCCACCCAGGCTCGGGGGCCAACCGGAGGGTGTTATCAGTGCGGACAAGAGGGGCACTTCAAAAGGGACTGCCCATTTATGGACTGCACATATGGTCAGGTAACGAGACGAGCGGCTACGGTAGAGGTAGGGGGGCAGGGGAAAATTTACGGGGAGTTGAGGTGGAGGGACATCGAGTCACCACCCTGGTGGATTCAGGATGTGGCCATACCCTGGTCCGGGCAGAAGCACAAAGGGTCCCCCGGTCCACGTTCAGTGTGTACATGGGCGAGTAGAAGCATACCCTACAACCTGGGTACACCTCAAGGATGGGGCCCAGGAAGGGTGGGTCTACGTGGCTCTCGTACCCAGGTTAATATACCCTGTCTTGCTAGGATGACACTGGAAGGGCTTTGAGCAAGCCCTACGAGAGTGGCCGGGATGGAAAGGGGAGGAAATGGTGCTAGCTGCCGACCCTAAAATGGCCTCAGGGGGTGGCAAGGAAGGGGACGAGATTCCGTCTGACTTTATGAGGGAGCAGAGGGAAGATCCCCTGCTGCAGCGAGCCTGGGAACAAGCTGCTAGAAATGCGGGGGAGCAGAACAGGCAGAGGATAGCCCAGATGTTCCCCAGATTTGAGATCCAGGGTTACCGGTTGTATAGGGTGACGGAAGGGAAGGAACAGGGGGAAGTCATCACCCAGCTATTGGTGCCCGTACAGCACCATCAGCAGCTACTAAGGCTGGCCCATAGTAACCCTTGGGCCAGCCACTTAGGGTACGAAAAAACGATTAGCCGCCTCCTCCAGAGGTTTTACTGGCCCGGTATCTACCAAGCCACCCGCGACTTTTGTGAGTCCTGCCCCGAATGTCAGAAGACTGGGCCAGGGTGGGTACCACGGGCACCCTTAGTACCTCTCCCTATAATAGAGGTCCCCTTCCAGAGTGTAGTCATGGACTTAGTGGGGCCCTTAGAACCAACGAAAAGCCATTTTCAATACATCTTAGTAGTTATAGACTATGCTACACACTACCCGGAGGCTGTCCCCCTGTGGAATACAACCGCCTCGACGGTTGCGGAGGAACTGGTGAAGATATTCACGAGGGTGGGTTTGCCAGAAGAGATCCTTACCGACCAAGGTACGAATTTCACATCCCGCCTCGACGGTCGCTGAAGAATTGGTTAAGATATTTGCGAGAGTGGGTTTGCCGGAAGAGATTCTTACCGACCAGGGGACAAATTTCACGTCCAACCTAATGAAAGAATTGTGTCATCTGTTCCGAGTCAAGGCCCTGAGGACGTCCGTATATCACCCCCAGACGGATGGTTTAGTTGAGAGATTTAACCGCACCCTCAAAGGTATGCTTAGAAAATTTCAGGAAGATCCCAGCGGATGGGATGTTGTTCGCTCCCAGCTCTGATGTTCGCCGTAAGAGAGGTACCGCAAGCCTCTACAGGAGTCTCCTCTTTTGAACTATTATACGGTCGACAACCCAGGGGGATTTTAGATGTAATCCGTGAGACCTGGGAGGACCAGGTGACACAGGCGGTCGGGACTGTGCCCTATATTCTCAAGCTGCAAGAGAGACTACAATGGGTGGGGGAATTCGCCAAACAAAACCTCCTCGGGGCCCAGGAGCGGCAAGCCCAATATTACGACCGCAGGGCAAGGCTGCAGACTTTCGAATCAGGTGATAGGGTACTCCTCCTGCTACCCAAGCAGTCATCCAAATTATTGGCACAGTGGCAAGGGCCCTTTGAAGTCGTCCGTAGGATAGGGGACATAAACTATGAAGTTAGAATGCCAGGGAGGAGGAAAACAACGAACATCTATCATGTGAACCTCATGAAGGAATGGCGGGCTCAGGAGAGCCTGATGGGACTCGAGGCAGGGGTGGCCCGGGAGTTCCAGGTGGGATCTGAATTGTCAGAGACACAAAAGGGGGAAATCCTAAACCTGCTAAATGAGTTCCCACAAGTGTTAACAGAGTTACCCGGACATACGGAGGTGGCTTGTCATCACATCAAAACCGAACCCGGCTGCACGATCCGCGACCCGATAGGAAATTGTGGCCGACCGTTAGAGAGGAAGTGGACAAGATGGTGAAGTGGGAAGTGGTGGAAGAATCCCATAGCGCCTGGAGGAGCCCTATTGTGCTGGTCCCCAAATCCGACGGTTCTATCCGTTTTTGTATCGACTTCCGCAAGGTCAACGCGGTATCTCAGTTTGACGCTTATCCCATGCCCCGCGTAGATGAATTGCTAGAACGACTCGGGACAGCCAGGTATTTATCTACCCTCGATTTAGCCAAAGGGTATTAGCAAAT